TTTTAACTTCCGCTAAGCCAGAGCAATCATACTAATTTCACTTTAAAAGAACGCATTATTTCCTTCCACGTTACTTAAGATGAAGGTTTAAATATATACATATATATTAAAATATATATATATTTCAAAAGTAAAAGACATTTTTCTCCCCTGAATTAGGGTGGGCCCTTAGTAATAATAACCTTGATTTTGTTCAGCTTGAATTTATATGCAAATATCAGAGGAAACTTAAAATTTGTTATAAAGAGAATATTCTTCCCATTCATGTTGTTTTAATAACAAAAAAAGAATGGTTCACTGAGTAAAGTAGTTTCAGTACAGCTTTGTGGCCTTGATTTCTCAAGTAATTTACAGTAGAGGTCTGAAGAGACACCTTAAAGTTGTTGTTCTTGTCCATCTGTTACTGCTCTCTTCTAAACAGGATTAAAACCAGGTGAACAGAACTTCCTCCCATTTGAACTATGTTCTTGCGTAACGTTTTAGGATTTTGGTCATGCTAATGGGATGCACAGAAACAGGACATATGGAACAAGTGACAACCACAAGGTGTTCAGCAGCCATGCTGCAACGCTTGACAAGCCAGTTACGGCTGGGTTTAGGTGAAGGACCATCTCATTTTCTGAACACATACGTGCCATCAGTCTGCAACTGCTGAAACCAAAGCTGGCTTTCTAGGTGGTTCTGTACTTTCTGAAAACAGTTTTGTAAGCCATTGCAGGAAAAGGATGCTACCATCCGTTAAAGCCACACTGGCAATCTGTGTCTCAAAGTCCAAGCTTAGTCATGCGTTTAATTGCCAAACTTCCTCCATATACCAATTACGCACACATGATGAGTATTTTCCAGTTGATACCAACAAAGCTGTCCCATGCATCGCGGATAACAAACACTGACATGCCCACCTTCTGGTCCCTGCTCCTTCCTCATAAACATATACCACATTGCCCCTCCATGGCTTCTAAACCTGCCTCACTTGTCTGTCTTATTCTTCTGTACTTCCTGATTGACCCGTTAGCCTCTCTGACCACCTTCTCTGGAGTATGAAGAATTAAGCATTTTAATAAACAAAGGAGACTTTGTTTTCATGTAGCAAAGTACAAAACTGGCTCAGAGCTGTATGTGGTGGTTAAGTTTAAGTAACTCTACAGCTTAAGACTCTGTTGGGGAAACAACTGTCCAACAGGCCAGTTCCTGGAGAGGATCCGTTCTGTACAGGAGTAGGAAACCTTTTACATATACAACGTAACCAGGAGAATATCAAGAGGAAAACCACTGATACAAGTAACTTGGGCCTTGTGTGCCAGACAAAATACCGTGTATGAAGAAAGGGCAGTTTGTCTGCAGAAGCCCAAGCACCAACCTCTTAAGAGTATCTCCTTAGGTGCACAGGGACTTCCACTGTAGAGGTAAGCATCAAAAATGTTGAATTTCAAGCATTAACTGCTACTTTGGGTCTAAACTCTCTTGATCCAGTCCCTGTATTAAGACAGAAACGAACATAGTAAGAGTGGTACTCCAATAGCAAGGAGTTAAAAGTACAAGTCTCCACTTTTTAAAAATAAGTAAATAAGAAAGATTTATTCCAAGCAGCTTTGTTTTTAGAAGAACATTCTGCTTGAGGTTAGTCTTTGTTTTCTGCCCTGAAGCCAATCTGCAATCTAATGAAACAGATTTGGTTTTTTATTTCAGGACTCCACACTTCGGACATTAACCCTTAGTGTGTGTGTTTCACCTGTCTTACAGATCTTGCAGATCAAAATCTACCTTTAGGAACAATAAACTAGAAGCATAACCTAGTAAATCAGAGTACTGCAAGTACTTTTTTTAATCAGTCCCATTGAAGAGTTTGTTCTCCTGAGAAAAGAAGATACAAATGCCAGGGAGGAAGATCTAGCTTCTACCTCATATTCCCTGACTGCCTAACTTAATCTGAATGATTTAATAGTGCAGTATCATTAGAACAAATGCCTGAGATTCTTGACTAACCAAGTTTGCAGAACCACAAAGTATCTGGAAGCCATATAGGAACCCTCTCACCAGAGGAGATCTTTTTGACATCACTGTAACACAGCACTGTTTTCTTCCTGTAGTTCATCTCATCTATCTCCATGGCAATTATGAAAGGCAGACAAGATCGTTCTTACCTTCAACTGTTGGGGTTTTATGGCAGTGCCACAGTGCTGATAGTAAAGTAAATCCAAATACAATCAAGAGCAGACATGTGATCATCTTTCATTGATAGACTTGATTTTTTTTTTCCCAGTGCTACTATATTTAGTAACATATAATGAATTTCATAACCATACCTCCATGGAACTTAGCATTGTTAAATTATGCTTATTCTTGCTGGCACAGTAAGATTCAGGGTACTTATTAATCTCTCAAACATTTTTTGTCAATATATAGTGGAAGCTACGGAAGCACCTGGTAGTCCAATATAGCAAGACCATACAAAGGAATAGCACTGCATGTCTGGGTTGTAAGTTATCATATTACGGGCTAACTTGGACATAGCATGACACCACATAATTGTTATAAAGCTGCTACAGGAGGTAAAAAGACACATTGGCTTGTGAAAAGCCAAATACCTTTTCTATATGCTGACTACAGGTTTATGCAACTTCATGGGATAGTCAGTGAAGCCTAGCAGGGAAATCACAGGACAAGACAATGTTTAAAATAACAGCTAACCCCCACATCCCCCCCCTTTTTTTTGTTTTATGCTAAGACTCTGCCAGACCACATATGAAAGACTTCATACTTCTCTGCTTGCAAGTTATTTTACTTCCAACTACGAAAAGAAACCATAAAATGCCATGAAGTCAGAGCACAGTAACGTTTCAATGACACATTGTCCTGATACAAGGTCTTCACAGCCTGCAAGGTAGATTAAGTAGTTTTATCCCTTGGTCTCATTTGCCTTATTTTACTCCAGCCAAGTTTAAAAAACAAACAAACAAAACCCAAAAAAAACAACTAACCGAAAACCCCACGCTGGAGTAGCAGCTTGTACAGAGCAGAGACAGAAGAGACTTGATGTAAAATTGTGCTCTCTAGTGGAGAAATTTGGTTTTGCGCAATACAGGTTCAAGCCACACGGATCCATCTGCCTGACCAAAAGGTTCTCCGTGCAGAGAAAGATATCAAGATTTTCACAATACAAGAAGAGTGCAAGCACCTAGTTCAACAGATTTATTATAATCAAGGTAGGTTTATGCCGAGTTACATGAGAGATTACAGCTAGATAAGGTTTCTAAATATACAGAAAAAAAAATATCCAAGTCCTAAGATGTGCTTTTATGTTTTAGATTTTGAAAGTAATAGCACCTTTAATGCAATAGCAAAATATTTCCTTTTAATAATGTGACAATTTATTTCACTTTAATATGGTCCAAGATAGTACTATATAGGCTGACAAAAGAAAGATTAATTTTACACCAGCTAAAGCTGCTTGGTTTACATAATGAAAATTAGATTTTTTTCTATCAATAAGGGTTTAATAACAAAATTATCTCTGTTGGTTTATTTTTAGAGAGAAGAACTGACATGATCACCAACTTATTTCTAGTTACACTTACATCATTAAACTTAGACTGAGAGTCTTCAGGAAACGCAAACTCCTGTTCAATTTGTTTTCTTACAGTGTCAAGAAAATATATTTTCTTCATCACAATTGCCTTACCACTGTTCTTTCTGGGCAAGTATGAACCAATGAATGCATGAACTCAATGTAATAGCAGATGAATTAGAAGTTATTCTTTACAGCAACTTGGCCACTTTATACTTCCTCAACAGTACACAGGATTTAGCTTCTTCATACTCTGTATGTTAACTAAACTGTTGGAATAAATCCGAAGTTATAAGACAGAAATATGAAAGACCTTAAAAAGCTAACTGTACAGCTAACCCATGCTAATTTTAAAATATATTAAAATATGGCATGTATTCTTCTTCAAGAATAAGGATTTTTTTTTTAATGGAAAAAAGATCGTAACTGATCTTATGCCTAAAGCAAGGAGAGGGCTCCACTGACTTCCAGCAGAACTGGTGCTGATTTGGCAGTAATTTAAATACTTATATTTAGTTAATCCCATGACAGCAAGCAGCTTTCCTAAATTTCTGCACTGGTAATCATTGAAATTTTGAGCTTGGGAACACTTGTCAGTGATTGGGCAAAAGGAAAACCTAGCTGTACTTCAGCAGTTTTGTCATATCACTTAATAGAAAGATGAATAAGAACCAAGTGATAAACTGTAGTTTGGGTGTGGCTAAATATCTGTATTTATGCAGAGTTCCAGCAGCACTTCAAGACACTGTTTCCACTGAATAGTCTCCTGCAAGTTTTCACAATATTCTTTAAGTTGTTGTCCTTTGCATGGCTGTATCACCTAAACCATAGTTTTTATTTAAACCATATCGCTTAAAAGCATACGCAAGAGAAAACACAGTTCATCTAAAGAAAGAGTCTTGAAATTAAGGAGCAGAAAGACAAGTGAGATACCCCTTAAAGTCCTGTGCAGTTACTGCTACAGACAGGTAACAGAGAGAGTGATCTTGAGTTCGGTTTCAAATTCAATGGTAGCCATGTAAAATTAACACACGATTGTGAGCATATGGTAGCACCACTTGAAGTTAACTGGTGCATGTTATTAGCTCTGTTGTAGTAATATCTGTCAGTCACACTGCCGCATGTATGGAAGGGAGGCAGCCCAGTAATTGACAGAAATGTCAGTTTTTCTAAGCCTCGTTCAAGAGGATGTTGGCAAAACTTTCATTTTTAGCTCCAAAGGCATTATCATAGCAAGGCAGAAGTTTCACCGGGTTTTGCAGACTCAGCTAACTATGTTACGTCAAAGTTCATTCACCACCAAAAGACATTAAAAAAACACCAAAGTACAGCTCAGTAGATTTATGCATTAGGTTGAAGGCCATCAAAAAATTAGGTCCAAAGTTGTATTATCAGCTACAAGATCCTACCAAGGAACTCAGTTTAGCCCAGGTAAGAAGCGCAGACATGCAATATCTTCCAATTAAATCAACCTCTGCGTTTCTTGAGGGGAGCAAAAGACAGAGACCAAAACCCGAGACAATTCATATTGACTTCCAATCCCATCCTTCAAGACAATTTGGTGAGGTTCTTGGGACAAACCTAGGAAGTCATCCACAGTGACGAATTGCAGTTGCTACTACAGCACTATCACGACAGACCATTTTAAGGATAATTTACAATAACTCCTTCAGAAGCTATTGCGCAAAGAACACCAAACCTTGCACTGACCTATTTATCATTGAAGTACTCTCTCTACACCGTGACAAAGAGGTTTTAAAGAATATGAAAGCACAGTCCAGGGGGTCCTCATAAGACAGAGCAGATTTCAGCCTTCTGTTTCCTATATCTCAACAGTTGCAGAGGTGCCATTTGTGTAGCCACCTTTAGACTTCATGTGGTCCTGAATTGATACAGCCTAGAAAAAAAGTTCATTAGAACACACATCTTAAAAAGTCTGGTTGCCAAAGCAATTATTAAAAGCACCAATATGATGAAGCAGATGAGCCATATGCTGGGTCCCTGGTAGTAGGGAGAAATAATAACTAAACTCAGAAATGTTAAATGATATTTTAAGTTGGTGCATGAGATGGGTCTTGCTATCGGAAATCCACTTATTCTTACATCCCTCACCCTGGCACAGGTTTGACTTCAGGGTGATGTGTTATCTGGACCTAGTATCAAGCGCATCCACAGATTCCTTATTCAAAATATTCTCATAGCATGTAAAGATAGTGGGGAAATGAGCACTTCTTGCTGAATATATCTTCCACAGCATCTTATGTTTACAAACCCAAGGACAGTTCTGTTCTGATGCTATTCTATTGATGAAAAAAGTCAGATTTTTCCTCTCTCTTACAATTATCTGGTATTTTATTGGCTACCTGCTCTACAGGTTACAGAGTGGAGATTTCTGCTTATCCAAGAGGTGCACACTTACTGATGAACAGTCACTACTCATCTCTCCTGCCCCAACATGCGCAGTGTGTACAAAGTTCATTGGTTCTCCTATCATATTCCGGTCCAGTCTCTGACGCCTCTTCTATGAGAAAAAAAATATCTTAGGTCTCTATACAGAAAATATGAGCAGCTTTCAGACAGAAACAAGTGACTGAGTCAAAAAAAAAAAAAAAAAAGACGGTCGGTACTGACCCCTAATGACTCCTCATTGCAACCAGGCTGAAGTTTCAGACTGTCTGCAGTAAGAGGGGTCAAAGTCACTTTTATTACTGCTAATGGAATTTTAGCAAAAACTTTCTTTAATGTTGGAAAGTCAGGGCCTGAGAACTGCGAAGTCATATGGCCCAAGTTTCTGGCAAAACACGTGGTTTAAACACAGTTTAACAGGTCTGATTTTAGCTTTTGCATTACTTAGCCCAAACAAATCAAAACAACATGACAATGAAAGTGTTTTCTGCATAACTGAAAGACAAAGTTTCAAATCTGATAAAGGATGGCAGTTGTGCATCTACCTACCGGCTGCGCCTGTTCACCATTGCACCAATTAAAACAAACCAGGAATTCGGTCATTCTCTTTCTCAGTAGGTAATAAGGTCTTGTTAAGTTTAATTACTTCTCTAGAAGTTAAAGCAGGACCAAGATGCAGTTCCTAAAGTGAGTTTAGGAAAGAATTGCTTGTACAGATTCACTGGTAAAGATCACAAAAAGCATCTGATGAGTACACCTGCAAAGAGATTGATATATTTTAGTATAAACTTAAAGTCTGGTAACAGTTATTGAGCAATAGACATCTCGGACAAGTAAAACAAGACTGTAAAATTCTTAAAAATATCTAGACAGAAGAGTAGCATCAATTTAAAATCAGTATGTTTGTGTCAGAAATCAAGGTTATGAACTTCGCATATTTACTCCCAGGCAGACAGCAGCGTAAATTCTGGTTTCTGTACAGAAGTGTAATAAAAGCAATGCTAGAATTAACTCAGGTCTTGTTTAACAGCCTGTGATCTTGTTGTAAGCAGAGCTAGCCAATGCTTATGAACTATTTAGTATCTCAAAAGAAAATAGCTTTGAAGCACACAGATTGAATGCTTAACAGTTACAACATGTTCAAAAGAAAGTTTCTTTCTTATATCTGATATACTCTTTCTAGACATAGAAAAGCTCAAAGTAAAGAGTATTCTACAACTCAAAAAAAAAAACCTTAAAAGAGAAAAGAAGAGCTTTGTATATCAGCAACAGAAACTACTCATCAGACAGAGCCTAGAGCTTCCCGGAATGTATAAAACTATTAACACAGCGCTCCTGAACTGGAGACACAACCAGGAAACTCACTGACGTTAAGTGCCCTGAAGCTATGATAAAAATCAACTTTTTAGTAGTTACTGACTTCTTTTTTTAAGGCTATAGAGTAGCCTTTCATATTAACTCTTTCATACCCCAGATAATTAAAACAATATTATAACACGTTAATTGATAAAGAAGGTTTTTTTTAAAGCCTACAGCTTAACAGAACTTACAGCTTCATCAATGCAGCCTTTCTGAATCCCCATGCAAGTCTTTACAGCCAAACAGCATAAGCTTCCCTCCTCACAGGCATATCTTACGTAGTCCCACAGTTATGTAATTAGAACATCTATTTCTTTCCCCTTTGTGGTTTTCTTACACTTCATCACTTCACACACTTCAAGCAGATTATTAAAATTTCTGCCATTTATCTTTCAAAGTGTTTGTTGTGTTTCCCTCAGCTTTAGGTGGCCTATATGATACGTTATTGCAGAATGTGTCATATATTATTCCATTTTATACTGGGTGGTTTTAATACAACTCATTATCTGGCTCAATTATAATTTTACTCCTCACTTCATCCTCTCACAACGGTCTTTATCACCACTGCCGCCTTGTTTGGGTGCAGCAAAGAAGGGACAGTGGCCCACAACCGTAAGAACACGCAGAAGCCGAAGCTTTTGCCTACGCTTACATTAGTTGTGGATCTTTTGGGTTTATTTCATGTCAAGGAGACTGTATCAAAGCTAAGATTTTCCTAAAAATCATAAACTGTGCCACTGTACACTAATAACCTATTTTGAAAGCAGACTAATGGAGAGAAGCATCAAATTATATAAACATCCCCATCCCAAAATAACGGTTGAATGCCCACTCTCCTCCTGACGTACCCCCGAGCATTTGGCCATCTACCTCCGTGGGGCTCTGAGCATACCTGGGTGTTACCTGCTGCTCCCAAGGAGTCCTGACAGGATGGCACGTCCTCATTCAAGCGCTGGAATGCAGCCAGCTCCTGTCTTGGCAACTCCAACGCATTTACAGTTCACAGTTCTGGGTCATAATTAATCCTGAATGCTGAGCGAGAATGCTTCACTGCGATCCCACACCCCGCGACAGCTCCTTCGCTCTGTAAGGTGCTGTAGAAGCCTGCTGTGCACTTCACGCTTACCTACAGGTGTCAGAAAAGCAGAACGGAAACCAAAAATAGTGCCCTAGTTTGGCATCAGATTTGTGCAGCCATGCAGTTTTCTCAGCACTATCCATGCAGCCTGTGGCTCACTTCCACCCCTGCGGCAGCTCTGCAGGTGTCCTCCTGGCACACAGCAGCGCTGGACGCCTTCCTGTTGTGTTTTACAACAGAACTCTTCTTTTCCTCTCCATGAGTCAGAGTATCATCCTCCAGGACAGGAATGTCAGTGCCAGGGCATGGGACACCACCTCCCTCCCAAAGACTCAAGGTTTCCACGCTAACGGAAGAATTTTAAAAACATCTTCATGTGTTCAGGCTCGCCCAGGACTAATGAAAGCCAACAAGAATCCCCAAACCGAGAAGAAAACAACATTTTGTCACTGTTGGCACACAGACCAGAACTGGACAATATCCTGTTGTTCTTTCTCTCTATTTTTCACCACAGCAGCAGTATCATCGAGGAGAGAGAGACAAAGGGCCAGGGAAATGGCTAGCACACGCAGACACAGATGTTGAATGCGATGGGCAGGATGCACGGCCATTCTGGAGTCCGTAGCCTTAAAGCGCCTGAGAGCTTTATGAATGTTTAGATACACTTTACTGAGCGTAACATTCAATTTGTTTTTCCACTGCTATTAAAAAGCATACAAAACATTCTTGTATTTTGCTTACAAAATACCAATTCGATATTAAGTGGAAAATGTTTGCCTGAATCAAAACAAAAGAATATTCTCCCTTTCCATAGACGTGAGATGCACGGTAATCTGATAAATAACATAGACCAAACACATCTATTCTTCACAATTGGCCTTCAGACTTAAGGTCTGATCACGACAAATCCTGAATTCTGAGCCCTCAGTGAAAGACAATGAGTGTAAAGCTAGTGTGTATTATCACGCATCAGATGCAGGCTACCATCACCCTGCTTCAACTGAATTGTTAAATTGTGGTAACTTGAGTCCAGTTATTGTAATTTTCATTCCAGCTCTCAGAAGTGAATTCATAGAATCATAGAATGGTTAGGGCTGGAAGGGACCTTCAAAGGTCATCTAGTCCAACCCCCCCCGTAAGGAACAGGGATATCTCCAACTAGATCAGGTTGCTCAGGGCCTCGTCCAACCTGACCTTGAACGTCTCCAGGGATGGAGCATTGACCATCTCTCTGGGCAACCTGTTCCAGTGTTCTACAACTCTCATGGTAAAAAATTTTTTCCTAATATCCAACCTGAATCTGCCTCCCTCTATTTTAAAACCATTACCCCTTGTCCTATCACAACAGGCCCTCCTGAACAGCCTCCCCCCATCTTTCTTGTAGGCCCCCTTGAGGTACTGGAAGACCACTATAAGGTCACCCCGGAGCCTCCTCTTCTCCAGGCTGAACAGCCCCAACTCTTTCAGCCTGTCCTCATAGGAAAGGTGCTCCAGCCCTCTTATCATATTCGTGGCCCTCCTCTGGACCTTCTCCAACTGGTCCATTTGAATTGATGGGAGAAGAGTATTGCAGCCTAATGGCCTTTCTAAAAACCACTGTGCTTCTAATTTGTTCATTATCCTTACTTTGTTTGCTTGAGATTTACATCATTTTAAAATACTGGAACAGTTGTATGTTTACATATTTGAACAGCAAGATATGGTAAAAACCAATGGAGACTGTATTTCCACATCAAATAGAAGTTTTGAACAGAAAACTTGAAGAGTGCATCTTGTTTGGCGAAAGGCAAAGAGTAAAAACCCAATAAATTACCAGAATTTGGGAAGAACCTTGCAGCCAAATAGCTGAAACCCTGCTGTCAAATAAGCTTATCTGCTTGGAAGTGGCATCCTGATTTTACTAGTACAGATTACAAGTTCGGTTTAAGATATAGTCTTCAAACTACGTAATAGTGTTATTATGTAGTATGATTACATATTTGCCTTCTGCCATCCTGAAGCTTCATCGAAAGCTGACAATAAGGTTTTACCTGAGACCTCAATTAATCTCGGTGTGTTGGTTTTGTTAGTCTAACCTTGGGTGTAGTCGGTGAGATTTGAAACTTCTCCTTTTAAAAGCTAAACACACAAAACCAAAAACAAACAAAAAAACCCACCAAAGCAACTCCTCCATTTCAAAGGGGAAATGAGCTTAGTCACAAAATTAAAAAATTGCGTTTTTATCTAACTGTCCATTACCCGTCAAAAAGGAAGAAAACCCAAGAGATCAAATTATGCGTTCTGTTTGGAAGTTAAAAATAACTGCAGGAGAAATCAACTGAGATTTACCTGGAGTCTTACCAGAAGAAAATTACTAAAAATCACAAAAAGATGAGAAGCAAGCCGAATGGCTGGCAACACACCAACCACTGGTATTGTAAACATGCTGGACTGAGTTACTAACTTGTAAATTATGGAATTTAATGCCACTAAGAATAAACTCAAATTAAACAAATAAAGAAGGCTGTGACCATAAGCTTTATTTCTTCATAGGAGGTAAAAAGCCTTAACAAGAAGAGGCGAAATCCCTCAGGCCCAGCAGAGTTTCCATTCCCGCGGTTTTCCATGGTTTGCAGCAGTCCAAGCGCTGCCGGCCCACAGCCAAGAGACAAACACAGCTGCCGAGGAAACGCACGTGTCTCTAGCTACAGGAGCAGGGACCGCGCTTCTTTAGAGACCTGGGGATTGCCGGAGACAAAAACCCCCCGTACTAACCTTCCCAGTCAAGTTTGTAGATGCCGACTAAAATTCCCCAGTTTCATGGCCTTCGACCTCGAGCGCAGAAGACGCCGGCACAGCCGCTGGCGCGTTTTGCCCGGGAAAACAACAGGGGTC